AAGACTCCATGCTATATATATATATATATATATATATATATATATATATAACCTAAGTAAACCATAAGGAAACTGCTAAAAAAGAAGCAGCAATAAAAAAGAAAGAAAGAAAGAAAGAAACAGATCTTTCTATTAAAGTTGTTGGACACAGAATACAATCAGCTCTCTCTGATTGTCCATCTTGCGTTCCCCGGGCAACAGGGCGCAGACCCAGCTACATGAATGCGCACGTCAGGCCAGCCAACTGCGTGCGCGTCATTGAAACGGAGCGGGTGCGAGTCTCAAACAAACATTTGAAAAGTGGCTTCAGAGCAGACGCGCTGGTCTCTGTGCAGCCACAACTTTTTGGGGGAGAACTGCGAGACGCTTTCAGTGTCCAGAGGACTTCGACACGGCGGACGCGACGGTGTGCTGCGGGAGCTGCTCGCTGCGCTACTGCTGTGCGGCCCCGGAGGCGCGCCTCGATCAGGGAACCTGCACGAACGACAGAGAAGTGGAGAGTAACACGCAATATGCTGCCCGTGAGACACAGATCAACTCAGAAATAACAATATCTCAGACCAACAAAAAAACGCATAAATAAAAATGCATTATGTAAAAACATTCAGATAAAAAAAGCTGTAAAACCAACCAACTTGTACGATTCATATAACTGACTGAACAAATATATGCTATAGTTTCTATTCTAGAAAAAAAGGTTACCTGCAAAGTATAGTGAAATTAGTTTTATCCTCTTACTATTAACTTAATCTTAAAGCATTTGTAAAACCAAGTACTAGATATAACACTGTTTTATTATAAGCACTAGGCTACATAAACTACCTGACTAGGGATATCAAATGAAACCATAATGACATCTGGTTGAATTACTTATAATAGTTTTCTTGTTGCCAGCAAAATGATCATATTACAGAATGTCATCAATAGGATTATGTGATATTTTAGGTCTTAGGAAATAAGTGTATTACAGAATGTTTTACTCTGATAATATACAGACAGCAATAAAGGGATTTCAGGCACCTGTTATAATGTCTGAAAGAGCAGAGCAGAGGTTAACCTGACACACCTGCACAGTCACTGGAGAAAATGTTCTCATCATTAGAACTTGTTACAACAATTTTTCATTTCTACAAGTTGCCAGATTTTCTTGATTCCTTCATCAGAAGTTAAGTGCAATCAGCCTCATATCATTTAATCGTAATAAAGTCAATCTCAACAGTGTCATTTAATCTAAAAAGAGTAGCCTATATGTCCACAAACATATAGTTTAACACCATAACAGCAGATGTTTTAAGCTGAAAACCTGAGGATGCCAAAAAGGAAATGTCTAGTTACCGTCAAGCACAAACTAAATATTCTTAAATTAGTATATATATTTTTTTTATAAAGGCTTAACGGTTTAAATAACCTGTCAACTCTAATCTGTTTGACCTGATCATTATTCCTCATTCCACCTAATATACTGATCTCAGTTATATAAGAATATATGTATAGGATAAGTAGTTGTGTTTAATGTGAAATACTGTGTTTATGCTGGTAACTGATCAAAATGGGGTCCTACAGTTTCTTTGACTTAATATAATTAATCATTAAGTTTACACTTGATTCAAAACACATTTGGGTGTTTTACAGCCATAGCCTCAAGCAAACAGGGGGAATATGTGCTTTGAATATGTAAAACAAAGCTCTAGCCAATTTAGATATTGAAAAGATATTATTTTGAATAAATTACAATGCAAAATAAGCAGTAGAGGTTCAGATAAGAAAAAAAGTTACATTTAGTAATTGTTCTTTGTGATTTTTAAATTAATATTCCATATGAAATAACCTTTTAACAAGCACTTACTGAAATATTAAGCAACAACTCACATTTGAGAAGCAATAATTCACAATACGTTCTAAATATTAAGAACATTATTGTCATGAAATATTTTAAATCTAGTAGTACAGTCTTAAAAATAAAGGTTCTTTATTGGCGTCTATGCTTCCATGAAGAACCACAGAAGACAGCTGATGTTAAACATCCATGAAAACCTTTCCATTACACAAAAGGGTCTTTAGTGAATACAGGATCTTCAGATTATTACAATGTTCTTCACACTAGGAAAAAAAAGGTTCTTTTAAGAACTGTTCACTCTTTGGAGAACCAACATTGATTCTTCTATGGCATCACTGTGAAAACCACCTTTTGGACCCTTTATTTTTAAGATAGTAAACTGAGGAAGATTACAATCTCTCTAACCACTAATGCTGTTTCTCTCTTTCACAGAGCCCATCTATGTGCCCTTCCTGATGGTGGGCTCCATCTTTGTGGCGTTTGTAGTGGTCGGTTCTCTAGTGGCCGTGTACTGCTGCACCTGCCTGCGACCCAAGCAGCCCACACAGCAGCCCATCCGCTTCTCACTGCGCAGCCAGGGCGAAACCATCCCCATGATCCTCACCACAGCCCCTCCCAGCCTCCGCACACCATCACGCCAGTCCAGCACGGCCACCACCAGCTCCAGCTCAGTGGGTGGAGGCAGCTCAGTCCGGCGCTTCTCCCTGGGCCGGGGTGACGGGCTGGGACAGTGTTCGCAACAGCAGCTCCTGGTGGTCTCATCTTCCACGGCCTCCACTCCTGTGTCTGTGGCCCTGACGCAGCCTCTATTGGCTCCGCCTCCTCCACCGCCCTACACCTCCCAGCAGGGCCTGCAGGGTAGTAACTCTCTCCAGCACACGCACGCTCACAGCCAGTTACAGCTGCACCACCAGACCCTGCAAAGCTCCGGCTTCCTTCTGCCACAACAGTACTTCTTTCCCCTGCCGCAGGAACCATTCTCCACAAACAAGGGCTTTGCTGACTTCAGCCAGAGCTGACCTGGGGTTCCCGGCTGCTGCTCAAAAGGAAACGGACACCAAAGAATCTGTCATTCACAATGCCGTTGTTGTAGACTCATATTACAGGGGCTTCTGTTCAAGGAAATAGGCACTAATGTGTCTTTCAGCAAGCTCGATTGGCACTTTGAGAGCGCAGCTGGAATTTAAGAGCCACGTGGGCCACTAAAGCTGGTGAGATAGTGAACTAGCAATCAAACAGACACTCAAGTGCTGGATACAACATGCCAGAACATGGATGCCTGTTTCTAAATGTACAACTGATCAAATCTTGTATGCACTTTTTTTTTTTTTTAAAGAACTCCGGCTGGTCAATGACACTCCACTGAACATTTAGCCTCTGTATTTGAGATCATTTGATATATACTGTATAGACATTACAAAAGAACGACAGAATTTCATGACAATCTCAATCCCATTTTAGGGGTCCTGCACACAAATGGTGCACTGTATGAATGGGGATTTTATAGAAATTTTCTTATTTTTTCCAAAGGGTCAGATTAAAATTTTAAGTTGCCAGATTGAGACAAAAATTGTTAATAACATTTAAAACAGGCATTCATCATGCATTATTCTTGCTCAGAATACACAGAGTATCAGTCACATAAGGAACAGGTTAACATCACGTGAATGTACAGCTACCCTTGGGGAAACCTCTGTTTCTAATGTTTGGAGAACATTCATTTTTCAATTTTGTATCATTTGTAGCAATCTGAAAGCCATTATTGGCTCAGTTTCAGATTACACTGGCAACACAGTTTTGTTATATTTGATACGAGATGTTTTGTAAATGATCAGGTGTATCTAAATGTACAGAGCAGCTGGAAGCACATCATGTGACGAGACGGCCTTCAAATAAGTATTACAGTCTCTAACCAACAGTGTTTTTGAGCTAAATTAAACTCTTTTATCTTCCACCTGTGGTTAGTTGGTCTCATCTCTCTGAAACAACAGTAATACATCAGATATAAGAATGGAAGAACATTCAAGAAACTGTATGATATCACTAACATAAAAGGTTCCATTTTTAGAACAGGCTGACTGAGAATACGTGACATTCCTGTTACCCAAGAAGGGAAAACTTGTTTTAACCCATGGACTAATTCTTTCTAGGGACACAGCCATGGATACGTTTACATCAAGAGCAGCCAACGTAAATAAACGGCTGTTATTAAAATATGGAACAGATAACAACTCTATTAATGTCACTGACCAACAGAGCAGTCAGAATGATACTGTAGATCTAAACGACAGGGGATGTCATCTATTTGACATATCTCCACCTTTTCCTGTCTAGATTGATATCGCATCCTGTTTAATGCCACACACGGTGACCAGCTTCAACATAATTTGTCTTTCCACACTAAGAGCAAAATTCTGTACAATGCAACAATCACAGAAAATACTTGATGCTTAATATATACACTACTGTTCTGTTTGGGGTAAAAAAAAATGTCTGAAAGAAATTAATTTAAATCATCCTTGCTGAATAAAAGTGTTAATCAAAAGTGATCAGTCAAAAAAAAAAAAATGCAGTTCTTATAAACTTTATATTGATGAAAGAATCCTGAAAAAAATGTATCATGGTTTCCACAAAAATATTAAGCAAATTGTTAACTGTCATTGTAACAGAAATAGTTTCTTATGCAACTATGCTGTGCTTGTGCTCCTAGATTTGACCGCTGCATTTAATACGGTCGATCACGAAGTCCTTATTGCTTGGTTGGAGCAATGCACAGGCATTAAGGGTAGTGCCTTAAATTGGTTTAACTTTCTGACCTATTGATTGAACATGTTCCCACCAGATCACTTCGGTCTTCCAACCAGAGACTGTTGGTTATCCCTAGGTCGAAGTATAAGTGCAGAGGTGACCGTGCATTCTCTGTAGTTGCCCCCAGACTCTGGAATGAATTACCTATCACAATCAGACTGTATCTGCTTTTAAATCTATCATAAAAATTAATTTGTTTGATAAGGCTTATAATCTAAATTTACATTCTCCTGCCTTACATTTTGTTTTTATTATACTTTGTGTATTTTTAAGTAAATGTGTTTTTGTGTTTTCATTTTATGTAAAGCGTAAAGCACATTGGACAACCATGGGTTGTAATTAATGGTGCTATATAAATAAATTTGCCATTGCCATTTGCCATTAAGAACGATGGTTATGGCAGACTATATTTTGCATGAAATATATTTCACATTGGATTTCACAATAACAGAAACCAAGCAATCAAAAAAAAAAGCTTTCAAAAGTTTGTGTAATATATTGGGTGTTCATGGGAAGTGCTGAGCCGGAGTTTGCTCATGATTAAACAGTGTAAACAGATTTTGGTGGCTGTAAACGACATCAAGATAAATTTTAACACCATAACTGCCCTCTGAAGAGGATCAGCTCATTCTGAAGTTGTGTGTATTAGCAAGTGCTGTGTAGGCAGTGAAACACTAAAAGAGGACATGAAATCCAATGCATTAAGAGTTTACTGTCTTTTTAAGTCATAAACATTATAGCGGCCAGAAGCAGAGATTTATGCATGCTGGGAAGTGTTTGCTAAAGTATAATTTAATGCTTGTGTAAAAAAAAACCTAGAAATGCATTGGTCCCTGATCATATATGGCCATACGACATATATGATCAGGGATTCTCTTGATGCCTGCTACAATACTATTCTCATACTAATAGCGTATATCTTGAACAACCTTGAGGCTTCATCAGAATATAATTAACAGAATCTGGTGATGCAACAAAAAAATGAGAGAAATCACCAGAGAAGAGCTTCAGTTGGAAATTTTATTTCAGTAGTCCTTCATGGCAATTAAGACAAAACACTTAAAAGTTTGCAGTTCCAACATGCTAAACAATCATTTAACAAAAAAGACATAAAACAAAGATCCGAAAGAAAAAATAAAACACCCACTAGAGAATCTGAAACCACATAAAAGTGCATTTTCATTCTTTAAAGTGACCAACACTAGAGGGAGATTCAGTGTACAATAAACATTTAGGCTAAATCAAGAACGACTTTTCCATTCATGCAATCAGTCACTTTGACAGACGGGGTTTTAGAAAGCAACAGTCCAAGCCTTTAACCAACATCACTTCATAGTTCCAGAGTTTGAGTCGAACGACGACCCACAACGCCAACGATCGGTCAAAAGCACAGCTTAAGGAACTAAATGCACAGTAGCCATAAACATTCTTTTCACATTAAATAAAATACTTTTCTGCTGGAATTAGAATAGTTACAGTGAGATCTGAAACTAAATAAAGAACATGAACAGTACATCCATCCAGATAAATAAACTGCAACTGATATGAACTAGATAAGAGAATATTCATCACATAAAAGATAAAAGAGTGCATTGTGCAACATCTCTGGTCAAGCTTTAGCAAAGCTTCATACAAACTGAGACACACATGCGCTCACACACTTACACCTGCTGACGTACAGGGCCATGCATCGGCATATAGCTCACCATTAGTATACCTGGAGTCGTGCAGACGAATGAAATAAGCAGCGGCACACAACCGGACCACACAGAGGACGTCACACACGCATCCTCATTCGAGTCTCTCAGGCAAGTGATTCACCAGGAGAACTGTTTTAATAGAGTTAAACGGACATGCACACTGACGGGATCACGAACACTCACTCAGTCACGCACGCATCCGAAACGCAGCTCACATGCACATGCAGACGACACATTGCAGACGCACTATACAAAACGTGCTCTCCCACAGGGAGAAGAAAACCAACGCACAAACTCCATCAAATAAAGAAGCGTTAATAAGACAGTTGTAGTCACTTAAGCTCAGTGTTTGAAGGGGAACCACAAAAAAAAGGGACGACGTTTTCATTACAAAGCAGATCAGTCCAAAAAGTCACACTTAGTCCAATATAAAAATACAAATTCACTAAATAACTATAGAGACAAAGTTGTATCGATACTGTGTGGGTCTGGCAAAATCCTCCGTTCCTCCCCTATGCTAATGGCACTTATGTTTGAGGGATTAACACTCTGTTCTAAGTCAAATAAACATTATGGTGAACATCTGATCATCTAAAAGAGTTTCACATGAGCCCCTTACGATGAGCTGAACGCATAAACAGGGCCGAGGTTTAATGTGTGGCTTAAAAAGCTCTCGTTTTGCCTGTGTAGAAGCCTGATACTACATCATTATTTTGGTCTAACGTGTAAGCGTGCTGTAACGCTGCCTAGCTAGAGTCTCACTGGGAAAAAAATTCCTGTTAGGCACCTTTGCGATCATTGCAGCCGTGTAAGATGTGGAATGCAGAAACGTGTTCAAGAAAGCTGTTGAAATGTTGCCAAATTGTAAAAAAAAAAAAAAGAAAGGTAGATACATGCAAGTTAAGATCTAAAGAATCAGGCACGATAAACTGACTGATCAAAACTAAATTCAAAACTTAAAACTAAATTTTTTTTTTGTACAAAAATTAAACCACAAAAATCTAAATTCCAAACACAACTAAACAAAACAAAACAAAAAATATATCCAGTAATGGCTGAAGGCAACAACAAATATAAGGCCTTGGTACATTAGAATTTAACATGAAAAATAATCAAAAATCAAGGGTAAAGTTCTCAAATTAGTGCAGAACACATCTGAGGCGTGTAAAAACAACCGGTTAACACCGAATTATAATTTCGAAATGTTGTTTTTAAAATCGAGACTGCATTTATAATGTTCTTTGGATCTTAATTTCTGGTTATCTGGCATACGTCTCGTTTTCTGACGCAAATAAAATACATATGTAATATAAAAACAAAAGGGAGTGTTTTATGTGCCATTAATGATTAGGAAGTCACAGTCAAAGACCATTACCACAAATGTTTCTCAACACCTTTATCACCACCCTCATCAACAACACATTTTTGGCTGTAACACTCATAGCCGAAGGAATGGCGGAGGAGAGAGGAGAGTCAATTCTTTATGCTGTTCTCCTCTGTTTGACAGATCAGAAACCATACTGACCGCAGGCTGGGCAAAAATATGCTAGCACAGTGCTCGTGTCTGCTGTTGAACATACAACTACAGCACAGCAGAACTTGATTTTTTTCTCTCTCATAGTGCTTCGTTTTTCGTATCCGTTGTTGCCCTTGGCTGGCCAAAGTTAAACTGACAGGCTTCAGCTCTCTGCCAGCCTTTAAAAAGTGAAGTGACCGCTGAGGGGGGCGGGGCCCAGCGAGCCAGATCTCACCACTCACTGGTCCGTTGCTTGGTGGTGTCATAGGCTCTGATGACCTCAGACTGGGAGAGCACTC